GTCAGAAAGCCGGTTCTGTAATCAGCGGTAAATCTCCATCACGTGCGTGCTTTCACATTGAGAAGCATTAACTACACAGAGCCGTTGTTCACTGACGAGGTGCACAAAAAATCGCGCGAATATGAACGTGGTTTTGCGCAGCTCGTCAGTAAACAACGGCTCCGTGTAGTTAATGCTGCTCAATGTGAAAGCACGCACGTGATGGAGATTTACCGCTGATTACAGAACCGGCTTTACTGATAAGATGCGCGTTAAATATCGCATGCGATTTATCGTGCAGCCCTAATATATAACTATACAAGCAAAACATGAGGACTCATGGTCATAAAAGTTTCAAAACTCTGCTCTCTTCTGTCACATCCTCGTCTTTATTTTTCATATTGCGTGCACATAATTTCGCTGGCTTCTGCAGCAGATCACACTAAAAATAAATGCATAATTACTAACTTTATATCCTCCGTTTTTACTTCCATAGGACAGCGCGCGTAAGGGTTGCCAAGTCTACAATTTTCCCGCGGAATTGGGCTATTTTTTCACTGTTGCCGCGTGTTGTTTTTCAACTCCGTGGGTTAAAGTGAATTAAAATTTAATTAAAATTAAAGTGACCATAATAACGCGATATATGACCCCCCTGGAATGCGACTGGGCTAGTTTCGGACTAGTTTAGAAAAATAATTGGGTGGAGTTTTTTGTGAAAACCTGGCAATCCTGTTGGTATCGGGGTTTTTTTGCGCATGCAGGTCAGTTCAGAACCATGATCTATTCACACTGGAAATCTGATATTGGCTACATTTAAAACAACAATGTGAACAGCTATACAAAAAAATCGGATCTGAGCACAAATCAGAATTGAGCACTAAGGCTCACAGTGTTAACATAGCCATTTGGTTTTGTTCTTAAATAGTTTAACAAAAGTCTTAATTCTTCGCAATCAGTGAATGCCGAAGGATCGTTATGGTAAATTTGTTGTAGATGGTTGTAAGATGCATATTTAGAAAGCCAACTACTACTATAAACTACTATGAAAGCTTATTCTTATTATTATTTTCTAACTGATCGGACTTACGATTTTCATGAAACAGACGATCAAAACTACGAAAAGTCCCATAGATGTTCATTGAGGGGGGCAAAACTTTTGTACAGTAAGACTTGTAGAGTGTTTAAGCTGTCTATCACTAGCAAAGCTTAATGACTAATGGCTACATGCTAATTCATGCTAGCAATGTGCTAATCATGCTAGCAACATTCTAAAACGTGATAGCAATGTGCAATATCATGTTAGCAGCATGATAAAACATGCTAGCAAAATGCTAGCAACACATTAGCAAAATGTTAAACATGCTAACAACATGTTAATCACATTAGAAACATGCTACCAACACGGTAATCATGCTAGAAACATGCTAGCAACACACTTATCATGCTAGCAACACTTTACTCATGTTAGAAACATGCTAACAACACAGTAATCATGCTAGAAACAGGCTAACAACATGTTAATCATGCTAAAAACGTGCTAACAACAGGGTAATCATGCTAACAACATGCTGGAAACATGTTAGCAACATGCTAACATCATGCTAATCATGGTAGCAACATGCTAGTAGTGTTAAAACATGCTAGCAACATGCCAACAACATGCTAAATCATGCTAGCATTGTGCTAGCAACATCTATCTATCTATCTATCTATCTATCAAGCTTTTACAACTGCTTCAAACTTTCAGACTAGGCTTTCTCAGGCCAACCTCAACGTTTGTTCACAAACTTTACTCAGCTAGTTATTTCTATCATCTGTTTGAATGAGCAGCTGGAAGTAGTAAAGCATAGACATTTCAAAATATTTTATGATTAAAAGTCCCTCATTATGCACAAAATCTTTTTTTTCCCTCTGGCTATTATTGGTATATTGATTACACAACATACAGTATCTTAATTAATCTTAAATTTGATTTTAGAACAGCTGTGTTTAACATCATTTTAGAGGTTTCAGCATGACTTTGGGCTGATATTCACCTCAGAGACTGAAAATCTCAGTTTGTGTGTTTCATTTACAGCGTCTCAGGCCTTTAAAGCGTCTGTGGTCTGATTTCAGCCTCGTTTGATCTGTTTGTGGCCGTTCGATGGGTCAAAGTCCTCCATGGCTTTTATCTCAGGTTGAGCTATTAACCTTCAGTCAAAAAAACACAGAGCAAACAGTTTTAATTCAGCTCGGCCTTCGCAAACGATGTCACGATTGACTCCGTTTACATTTGAAAAGTAATGCATTACAATATTGCATTACTCCACAAAAAAAGTAACTAATTGCGTTAGTTAATTTTTATGGAACGCAATGTGTTATGTTGTTTTTGTGTTACTTTTTGTCACCGGGGCTGGGCTTGTTTATTTGTTTTTAATAAGAAAAACCCAAAAGTTATATTTTTGACAACTGTAAGCACACCAAAAGTGATGATAATAAAGGCCTCATCTCCCGATTTCTCGAATTGGAGAGCTGTTAGTGAATAAATGGGAAAACATTATTTAAACAAGTAACTCAGATATTTCATCGCTGTTGTTGTTGTTGGGATTTTCCCGTCATACAGGACTGACTGGCAGGTTTTTACGGCACACAGGGGAATTTCACTGGTTTCTGTGCAGTCCTGTACACATTAAAGAGATGACATGATAAAAGCAGACCTTTCTTGTTTTTAGCACTCACACACCAACAGACATGTGAACTCAAAGCTGCTGTCACCAAAATATACACTATGAAATGGCACATTCTGTTTGAATGAGCCGTTTTCGTGGTGAAATCACTGTAACGCACAAACTCTCACATATGCATATTACTCTTGGATTTGTTAAATGCCCAATTTAGACGTAAAACACTGCATAAAAAAACATTTGAGAGTTTGCGTGTGTTATAGATGCAGTGTGACGTGAGCAGTGTTGGGGGTAACGCATTACAAGTAACATGAGTTATGTAATCAGATCAGTAACTAGTAAAGTAATGCATTACTTTTAACTTTACAGGAGTTACTTCTTCAAATCAGTACTTTGTTTTCTCATTTGTGACCCTGGAGCACAAAACCAGTCATAAGGGTCCATTTTTTTCGAAATTGAGATTTATACACCATCTGAAAGCTGAATAAATTAGATGATTTTGTTATGATAGGACAATATTTGGCTGAGATACAACTATTTGAAAATCTGGAATCTGAGGGTGAAAAAAAATCATAATATTGAGAAAATCATCTTTAAAGTTGTCCAAATGAAGTTCTTAGCAATGCATATTACTAATCAAAAAATTAAGTTTTAATATATTTACAGTAGGAAATTTACAAAATATCTTCATGGAACACGATCTTTACTTAATATCCTAATGATTTTTGGCATAAAAGAAAAATGTATAATTTTGACCCATACAATGTATTTTTGGCTATTGCTACAAATATACCCCAGCGACTTAACACTGCTTTTGCAGTCCAGGGTCACATTTGGGGGTACAATACGACCAGGACATGTTCTTGACACCCAGATGTTTTTATGGCTCTTGCTTAATTGGAAGCTCATTCATTAATACAAATCTCATGATGCACTGATAAGGACAGCGAGAGGTTTCCGTACCAGTAGTTTGGTGCTGAGAACACGGTGATGCACTTCCCTGAGTGAGTGACCTCGTAACCCTCGGCTTTCACCTCATGACTGCGCACTATGTACTGCAGCTTGTTCTGTTCCAGGAAGCGCTCCGTAACGTCAGGCCCAAACTGACAGCTCACACCCCGCTTGCTGATGGACCGTCCGTCCTGGAGGAGAACACACATCGTTCAAACACAGCTGTGACCGAAACCCTTCGCTTAGCTGAAGGAGGGGAACAGAACTGACCTGCGGCTGAGGATCTGACCACAGGAGATCGCACATCGGACCTGCGCGAGAAAGATACAAAATACAACTTGAGTTCTACATTGTCCAATGAAAATGTAAGTGGTGCAACACTTCATAACACAATGCTAGAGCGTGGTGTGTGGTTGGCAGGGCTTTTTGGGAATAACTTAGGGGCCTTTTACACGACAACGTTTTCAGCCAAAAACGGGAAACTTTTTATGCGTTTTGTCTGTTCGTTTACACGACAACGGCGTTTTTAGGGACTGAAAACGCATAATTTTGAAAACGGGTTTCAAAGTGGAAGTTTTTGAAAATGCCACCGTTGTCGTTTCCGTGTAAACACCGAATACCGGGGATCTTTGAAAACGGTGACGACATGCGTGAGTAGTACGTGTTAGGTATGTAGACATGCGCAGTACGTGTCGATTTTAAAGGCAAGCACAAACAAGCATACACAACAATGGCGGAGTACATGGTAATGTTGTTGCTGCTCAAGAGTTTGCTAACGCTTCTTCAGCAAAGTGTAGATTTACTTCACCAATATTACAACCAACAGCACGGCAACAGGTACTGTTTA